CTGTTAGTTTGGCCTGTTGGAATCCTAAGTACTTGTAGAACTCGCCCTCTTCCATGGATTCAATAACGTCTCCATTTCCAAGTGCAAAATCTTCTTTCTTCAGGATTCCTTTTTCTATGTGAAGTTTTTTGCATTTGTCTAGGCCAAACTCCATTTGTATGTCCTTAGTGTATGAATGTGTGATTTGTAGGAGTTGATGAAGTTGTTTTTGTGTGGATGCATAAAGTTTTATGTCGTCCATGTACATGAGATGTGACAGTGTAAACTATGTTGTTTTTCCATGTCTGATATTGTAGCCGTAATGCGTGTTGTTTAACATGTTGGATAATGAATTCAGGGCTAGGCAGAACCAGAGAGGACTGAAGGAATCTCCTTGAAAATTTTTTCGCCTAATGAATATCTCATGTGTTTGTATGGAAGTGTTACTAACCCTGAGATGTATTGTTCTTCAGTGCTGCATAGTGTTTTGGAAGAATGCAATGAGTGATGGATGTATTTTGCACATAAGTAGAATGTGTAGCAGCCAACTATCGAATGCTTTTCTGGTGAGAAAGTGGATTAGCAGAAGAGATGGCCTTGGTGCATAAAAAACTCTGTTAAAAGGCATTGGCTTCAGAGGATAGAGAAGCATATAAAAATCCTCTAAGAATGTCTGTAGAGCAATTTGTAGAGGTAAGTATGATTGTTAGTAATAAACAGAAAAAATCAACATATTTTAGAAAACTAATATCAGCAACAGTGAAACTGAAAATAACATTGTTATATAATGAGTGGTGACAGCCTAACATATCTACAGTATCTGTGTCATGTTTCAAAAAACACAATATCTGTGTTTTTACCTATTGTTATTTCAGCCATTTATTATCGTTAATACATAATCTGTTTAAAATGTTGAACGAGTTTCCAGGCAATCTGAATCATATCATTTACTTGAGTATTGTATTAGAGCAAAATTATGACAAATTGGAATTAAAAGTTGTTGATGGATGATGGTTTCATAAAACATTGTACTTTTTGTAAAGTTGAAGAAATTTACTTACCTTTCCATTTCTCGACTAATTATTACTCTTATTACTTGTGTGTGTTGTTGTGATGGTAATAACAATACAAGTTCACTTTTCAAAATCAAAACGGGGCTGTCTTCGACTAGCATTAAACGAGAATAGTTTACATTATTCAAGTTGTTATTCAAAGCAAGTAAAAAGTTAAAAAATCTCAACTGCATTTGAAATTTGAAACCAACTTTGAAAGAGTATTTCAAGTCAAGTAAATAACAGGTTCACATTGGTCAAGTGGTTTCAACTTATTTAATTTCAGGTCACTTGAATTTAAGTAACTTAACTAATGTGAATGAGTCTGAAGTGTTCTCAAACTGGTATATCACGAAGCTAATTGAGTGTTTCTAAAATTTTGTGTGATAAATGAAGATAATTTTAATGATTTTTAGCACTAAATCTTAAAATACTTTGTGTTGTTTTTAGGTAAAAGTGGAAGTAAAATTGAAGTGTACTCAAATTACTTCAAGGTTCTTTCACGCCCCAATTGGCGAATATACCAGTATCATGTAGATTTTGCTCCCACAGTCGAATCCAGTAGGATGCGACGTGGACTCCTCCATGATCACAAAGACCTTTTTGGTCCCTGTTACTTATTTGACGGGATGTCTGATATTACTCAGAAAATTATTTTAGTATTGTGTCTTACATGCCATAAAATTAATAGGTATAATTTAAGTAGATATTGAATAATTTTTGTTAATTTATATGAGNAAAGTGGTCCATATAACATTTTTGGGGGGTTGATTGAAAAATTGAAACTAAAATATCACAAATATAACTACACATATTATGTTTTTGAATATTATTTCACTGAATTTAATAGTACAGCTACTTCTCAAAGTGTAAAATTGCTACTGATTAAGTTGAATAGGACAAACTGAAATTGCTGAGTTTGTGTTTCGGTTTGGTTCTTACATAGTACATGTCAATCATCTGCAGCAATCATAAGCTTGTGTCTGATTCTCAGTATACTGATGTTATTAGTGCCTCTACAGCTATTTTTAAGCCACTGTCCATTTAATTTTAGTATATTGCATATATACAATAAATGTAAAATTAAAAGAAATGTATTAAAATAGTAAGAGTTTTTTTTTATTGTAACACAAACTTTTTTGGGGGCAATGTGAGGTTTCGAAAAGTTGTAGGGGGTCAGTGATCAAAAAAGTTTGGCGACCCCTGTATAGACTAATTCCACTTCTGTTAGAAATTGTAATTTCTATATTTGGTCTAGACTAAATTGTTGCTTGCACCAATCTGTTTTTCATCTAATCTCACTTTTTTGGAAAAGATGATAAATGGATAACAATTTTTTATTAATACCGTGTTTCCCAGAAAATAAGACAGTGTCTTATATTAATTTTTGCTCTGAAAAGTTCATTAGGTCTTATTTTCAGGGAATGTCTTATTTTTTACAGGAAGAAGAATTCACATTTATTATTGAACAAAAAAATTTCCAAGTCAAACTTAGACGAGAGTGACGTATATCCGTTGTGTCGAACGATCGCCTTTTTATAGCGTCAACATCGGACTCGATGACCAATTAGTGCTTACTGAACCGTAGCACTATGCAAATATCATGTGGCGTGATTCCCGGCCGACCAATTAGCCATTACCAGCCGTAACGTTATGCAAATCTGTGATTCCCAAGCCATAGTCTTATGCAAATCATGCCGTGTGGCGTAATTGTATACTGACCAATCAGTGGCTGTACTTTCAAAAAGCTAATGACCACTTTCAACCATCTGTCGATGACCGTTACCACTAAAAAAACTTCGCTAGGTCTTACTTTCAGGGGGAGGTCTTATATTTCGCAATTCAGCAAAATCTGTGCTAGGTCTTATTTTCTGCGGATGTATTATTTTCGGGGAAACACGGTATGAACCACACCATCAAATAAAATTTGCAATATTAACCCATTCGATGTTGAAATTTTTATTTGTTGCCTGTGACGCCATGTTGAATTTTCATCGATGTTAAGCCTAAATTTTTAAAAAAATAATAATCGTGTTTACTGTATTGTATGAAATTATTTTTTTATGTTTCACAAACAAAATATATATATTGAATAATATAAAAACGAAAAAATTTTATTTTAGAAGTTTGTTTTAATATAAAAATTGTGATGCAAAGCGACATCTAGTATGAAAAACGTTCCGATGTAAACACAGAAATATTCGGGATTGCCCACGCAGGTCAATGAGGTCAACATGAATATTTTCCAGATCAACGTAGGACAGGTTAAAAACCTAGCAAAGATTTAGGCAGAGGCAGACTTTGCATTAGATCTAGACTTATGACATATTATGTAAATCTTGTATCATTTCATTCTCTTTATCTACTTTATGTTTGTATTCAAACTGTAATAAATGAATTTAATATTGATGAAAAGTTTGATTTTTTCCTCCCTAAGTTAATATTTTACTTCTAAATTACAATATTTTTAAATGTTGTTTGAGATAAAATTACATACTCTATCTTTATAAACCACATAGAAACAAATTTTATGAAAAATTTAATTTTAAGTATAAAAGTTTGTAATTTAAGAAATTTATAAATTTTAATAACTTTTTTTTGACAAAACTAAGGAAAGGTTTGTCGTTCACCTATTTTGGTTTTAACAGAATAACAGTAGATTCCCTTTTATCTGGTCTTGCTATAGTTGGCCATGTTTTTGTTTATAATTTTTTTTATGAATCAGATTTCTAATTTTAATTCTGAGAATAATATAGTACATTGTAATGACCTTGTAACTTTCACTTTCCTTAATCTTTGCTGTCAGTTATGCTTGAATCAGTCACTTGTGTACACATATTTTTGGTGTTTGTTTTTAAAATGTTAGGCTTGAACAAGTGGAAACAGTGGTAACTATTGGTACAAAATTAATGTCAGAATGTATTGATAATAGAAAGAAATCCTGTAAGATGGGTATATAATGAACTATCAGAAAAAGTTAGAATGCATTTTGTAAAAATTACATTACAGATGGATACTAGTCCTATCCACATTACTTGCCATGTCCAAAGAAAGGTTATCTCTGCAGTAGAAGATAGTTGATCCTGGTGATTGGACATGGCAAGCAATGAAGATAGGACTAGTATCCATCTGTAATGTAATTTTTACTTTATTAAATTGTAATTCTGCCAGCCCTGTTTTACAAACTTAGAATGAATGGTTGGCAGAGAAACCAGAAATTCCTTTAAGACTTCAAAACACAAATAGAATTAGAAAAGGTTAGTTCACAGTGGAATCAAGTAGATACTTAAAATGGTGTCAAATGAGTTAGTGTGCTAGCATCTCTGTAATAACAACTGAAACTGTGAACGAATTATTGAAAATCATTGAAAATTATGGTAATTGAGAACAATCAATAAGGGTGAGAAAGTGGATTAGCAGCTATAACTCTATTGCTGTCTTTATATATATATGTATTCATTCCTGATAGTCACATTTATTGCTTCACATATAACATTTTTAAAAATGATTTTGTAAGGAAATTGTTTCTTTTAAACCCCAAGTTTTTCTTGTTTTGGTCTTTTTTGACTAAATTTAATTGTAATTGAATTTAATGGAAGTATTATTAATAGTAAATGGGATTTTTCCCCTTTCCCTCTCCAGATAACAGAAGTGTATTCAAAAAGGAGAACAGATGATGAAAACATTCAAATTACTATAAAGAGAGTTGCAGAATTGGCCCCAAATCACCCTGAAGTGAATAGACTTTTTAATACACAAATGAGAAGGTAAGTTTGTATGAGAATTCAATAAATTGATGACATAATTTATATATAGTTCTTAAATTTATCAGAAACATTATAACGTAAGTTTTTGTAGAGAAGAAAGATTATTTATAAAATGTTTATGCTTTTAATATAATATATTTGAATGTTCCTACAAGGTAGTTTATATCTTTAGTTTCAATTGGTTTTGTTGTTGAATTTATTATTTAAACTTTTTTGTGTGAATAGAACTTGGATGATAAAGTTTGTTCATTGTTAAGTGTTACATGCTATAGTAGAATTATTAATTTCTGTCTGTACTAGAGATAATAATAGGTTAACATTAGAAAAATGATTTATAGAAATGTTAACAATTTTACCCTTTGAGGATGGATATTTTTCAAGTGTGTACTCCACATGCTGGTAATTATTTGATTTTTGTGGAGTTTAAGTTAGTTTGACCGTTAACCTATTTGATGTTGAAATTTTTGTTTGTTGTCTGTGACGCCATGTTGAATTTTCGTCGATGTTAAGCCTAAATTTTTTTTAAAATAATAATCGTGTTTACTGTATCGTAAAAAATTATTTTTTTATGTTTCACAAACAAAATAAATATATTGAATAATATAGAAACAAAAAAATTATATTTTAAAAGTTCATTTTAATATAAAAATTGTGACGCATAGCAACATCTAGTATCAAAAA